CAGTTTGGAATTTCTGTACTATTGTTGGGACTGTACAAACAGTAGTTGGGACTGCCCAAACTATAGTTGAGACATTTGATTTAGTTTGGGCGTAACAACTCCAATCAACTACATAATATGAAGGGAACGTTTTGCAATTGATGTGAGAATTCTTGTTGGCACACTTGAGCCTAATCACAAAACAGATCAGAGTGTGTGACAAACTGCCAAGTTGAATTTCTAGAAAAGTAGAATCTATTTACGCAGTGGCTTAAACCAGTTTGTGCAAAAATTCCACATTGATCTTTTATAATTATGTACAATGTGATAAAAATGGAAATTATTGAGAAAAGTACAATTCCCCTTGACTTCTCTGTCATTCCTTATTTCTCCGAAATAGTCAGAGCAATTTCAAACTCAATGGGTAACAATCACAGGATGCACAACCCAAAATTATCTAATAAGATTCCCAATTCGATTCACTAATTCTATCATGAAGTCCTACAAAGTGTGCTAAAAGACTACGACAGGCAACCAAACTAATAAACTATATAAACTAATACAGAAGTATAATCACCACGGTCCTACAACGATACAACCACAGACTATCGCAAGCATTTTTTCACCCACGTCTGGCTTCCAAAGTCTAACCAAATCCTCTTGTCATTGTCATTGCAACTCCATGTCACGTTGGTAAATTTTCACAATCATGTTTGTTTTAGGGGTCAGTAAATACATATTCAGAAATAATATCTGTAAATGTGGCCTATGATGTAAGTTCACCAACAAATTAGACCAAAGAATTTCATCAAACCAGGGATCCTTCGCACACTGCTTTTTTTCCCCAGCTTGAGTTACGTTACAAATCAACTACAGGGTTCCAACAGAAATCTAAAAATAAAATCCCATGACTTTTCCTTGATTTTCCATGATAGCTTTAAATTCCAGAATTTTCCAGGATTTTTCCATGCCTGTGGGAACCCAGCAACGATAGTTGACCACTGGTCCGTAATCACACTTTGTTGTAGGTCACATTTAAATTACATTGCTTCTTTGGCAGTAACACACATGTGTGTACAGGGAGGGGCTTTCATTCTTTTCCATGTAAGTGGCAAACCGTAGCCATGTAATTTAGGTCCTGCCTTAATCGATTGAATCAGAGGGTAGATACTCAGGAAATCAGAAGTAAAAACTAAACTCTCGTGACAGTAATGAGGTTAGGACCCATACAATTAATTCTCCCCTTTTCAATTTGGCCTACCTCCAACCTAGACAGCTCCCTGGTGTAGACGTCGATGCTGTCTTGGTCATAGAGGACAAAATACACCTGCTTGAGAGACGAGGACATAACGGTCACAAAGTACTTGCTGATGGTCTGCAGGATGGTCTCAGCTGCAGTCTGTTTGGGAAACCCATTCCTGAAGCAGAGAGAAAATTTTCATCATTAAGGAATGAAATATGTAGGAAGTTATCATGGAGACATGGATGCATTTCACATGAGGTGAGATTTCCAATGATACAAAACTTGTTAAATTGAGACTCCTGTTCAAGACTTGAGACTTGAATGAAGGCATGCCCTAAAAGGGGTGAGACATGGATTAAAACTTGCTCTCAAAGAGTTCAGAGTTGAAGGAAGACTTTCTGTCAAAGACTTGAGACTTGAAATGAGACTTGTTCTAAAGACTTGAAACCTGAATCGAGTTTTGCTCTCACAGAGTTGGGACTTGAATTGGGACTTTCTCTCAAAGACTTGAGGTATGAGATGAGACTTGTTCTCAAATGGTTGAGACTTGAATGAAGATTTTCAAAGACAAAGAAACCCTTCTGATCGCCGACATGGTTCCAGAACAGAACGCAATTCCACTTCGGACCTCCGATCTCGCGGGGATCCGAGAGAAGTGCAACACACAATTTCTCTTCCAACAATGGACTCGCATTCGACAACACGCATTCATAAGGCTCCAGTACTGCTGGATGGTGATCCTAATCGGTCGAGAAACCAAGCCGATATGAGTAGGCACCCTTCGAACAGGACACAGCTTTCCTCACAGGCATCACAAGATACGCTTCCTCCATCAACATCACCGAGTCGTCCTTCTCATGTTATCATATCTGATGCGTCACAGGCCCACCATAATTTAGACAGGAGTCGAGAAGACAGTACCAAGAAACGCTCCTCCTACACTTCCGCCATTGAAAACCAGCAAGATGCAGAGTGGCAACAAATTGCACCATCGGCACCCTCCTCAAGACGATATCACAGCGAGAAAGTTGCAAGAGAGGAAAGACCAAAGAAGATGAAGCCATGTCTGGCTTATCATCACCTTGAACATGTCGAAGACGCTGAAGACGAATTTGGGTCAGACAAACACAGACTCGAGACTTTTGTTTGAGACCAAATTAAACTTTCATCACGCAGGAACCAAAATCAATTGGTCAGTTAGCATGTAAACGTTTGCCTCAAGGACATTGGCAGGTCCTATCTTTGGAGGGCGCCTTTTAGGGAGATACGGAGATGAATTAACAAGTTATTCGTGGAATGTTTGGAGAGAAGTTGCCCTTATTGTAAAACTATTCGAAATTTGTATACATACTCTCGGGATTGCAGTCGCTTTGCAAAAATCGCTGTCTGATCAAAGTATTGCAAGTTTTGAAAGAAAAACTGTGATTTGAACCACGCCTCTTTCCTTCGCGCCATTCAACCGTCTAGCCTTAGCCATTTTCTAACTGAGCTTAAAAGCGACCAAGTCGCATGTTTAATGTTACTTGACCGTATAATTTTATATCATAGGCTAACTGTACCATTTATACATATACAGAAACCCACAGTTTATACACAAAACAAATTACAATCATATGAGTAATGTATCGGTTATTATTGTCTGTTCATAATGTGAGATAAATTGGGAATGCAATAGTTTGTGGCGATTACAAATTTCGAATAACTTCTGTCATACTTCACAAAACAGTTTAAGTTGTGCGTAAGAAAAGTACGCTTTTCACGTCATTATGACGTAAATCGTTAAGTCTCGCACATATTCTCTTTAAAGGTGAAGTATAAGTCAAGATTTTGCTGTAATTGTGATGATTTCTTAAAACTCGTTTCGGGAGGTATACAAATATGTTATGTAAGGTAATGTCTTTTGTCAATTATACGCCCACTCTGCCAAATCTCCTAAGCGTATTATAAAAATTAAATGTCTTGTATTTGAGGTTGTGACAGTACTTAAAGTCACAAATTTTATTATGAAGATGATATGCTTAGTAACCTTAATTTACTTGTCTATGCTAAACAATATAACAATATAGTATAGAATTGTTTTCATAAAACAAATATTTTTGAAAAGCAAGAAACACGCAAATAATTAGTCATCTCCATAAAACTGCGTCGAAAAAAAATCCTACATAAAAATAATTGCATAATGCGATATTCATCAGTTCGGTCCGAGAGCAAATATTATATAAAGTCGGGTGTTTTTACATTTACACACGCCAGGGATGGTGAATATTAACTTGAGTAAGCCGACTTGACCTGGAATTTATTGAAATTAAACCCGCTCACGTCGACTTTGACCAAAACCCCGACATAAAGTATTGTTTGCTATACTGCGCACCATTATGTAGTGTTTGGCTTAGGGTCAAATGTCAACTGCAATATACACGGTGATAAGCGGATTGGTGGGTTTTATTTGCTTTTTGCGGGAGCACTCGATCGCAGACCTTTAGACGAGCGTCGCGTATGATATATGAATGTGCTTGATAGTATACTGCTTTACAAAAGGAAGAATCATGAAATGTATTCGCGGATTGGTAATGAGGGAGATATCGGTGGAATATATGTCGCCCTCTGTTGAGAAGTGACGAAAACTGACACGAAATTATTGCAATTTGCGTAAAATACCTTTGCTTTTAATAAACCTCAAATTCCCACTTCCCAAGCGGATTCGCATTTCAAGTGCATCGGCACGTAATTGTAAAGAAAAAATATAAACGAATTATAAATATCGATTGAATAAACCATGCAACGAACGCTATACGAGAGATACGACCCGAGAATAATAATATTTCAAGTTAATTTGCTTTTTGTAGCATTACGTGGATTACTTTTCAATTGAGATATTCCACATACAGTAAAACAATCAGCCACAGATAAGTGAAAGAATAAAGCAGTTTCAAATGTTGATGATAAAGAGAAACGGGAAACGGAAAGATATATTTTATTTTGGGAATACAAATGTTTTATTTTTACCTCATTAGTATTCACAACTTGCATTTACTTATATAGGAATCTACCGCTCCAGTTATACACACAGCCATCATAGCAGTACAATCACACTCAAATCTAAATCAATCAAATAAAACATTAAAACATTTTGACTTTCTCGTTAAACCTTCTGAGAAGATTAATGTTCGGTTTACAAAACAATGTACAAACTGAGCAATATTTTTGTAACTACTTCCGACTTATTATTTGAAAGCTTTTGTAACATTTAATCGATAGGAACATTTCTAAAAATCGTCTATGATGAGTATCTCTGTTGCAAAAAATAAGGTACATAATACCAGCCAGTGAAAAACTCAATAGGCTACAAAGCATATGACTTGAGATCAAGAATTAATTGCATTTACACAACGTACAAAGAAATCAATTTTGACTTTCTTTTAACTCTGTAAAATTATGTATCCATAAAGTGAATTTTATATGGTACATAACACCAAAATGACATACAAATTCAGTTAATAAGTCCCTCTCTCCTTGCATTCTATTGAATGTATATGTAATCAATTTTGTTCATCAATAGCGAGCTATTAACCAGCCAGTGACTAGAGCTAAAACATAGCGAGCAAAAACGATAAAATTATAACATACGAAAAGGCTGGCTGCATTTGTATTTTTCTACTGCAGCAGCCTCAAAAACAACCAAAAATCGACAACAGTACAGGGCGTGTTAGTCTCCGACTGCGCACATTTTTTTTAAAATAACGTCTAAGATACCAAACACTGCATAACAGTGTCTAGTTTAGTCCACCTTCTTATCCAATCCAACCATCTCGGCGCTCATCTCCCACAAGCGGCGGGCGTTCTCGCTGTTCACGTACTGCTTGTTGGTCTTGGCAGGAACGCACTCACTGAAAAGATCAAACGAAAAACGAAGGTTGTCACTCAGTTTCACTTACTAAGCATTTCATTTTTGTCATAGCTATAAGAAGTGACATGAAATTGGGCCCGGGGTAAAGCCTGTGCAAGCACAAAATGCATAAAAAAAAGTTGCTAGTAAAGTTTAGCACGCACGTTATCCATTTTGATGTCCACAAATATCGAAGTAGTAATGTTCTGCAAAATGGCAACTTTCAAGGCTCGTGAACCATTGCAAAACAGTGAGTCCTTTTGTGAGCTCAAGGGCGGATCCAGGGGGGGGGCCAAAGGGGGCCATGCCCCCCCCCCCCAAAAAACGAAACCAATTTTTATTTTTTTTATGTGACATCGCAATAAAGGCAGGCAATGAGTACACCACGATCTTTTCCTCAAAAAAACATTGGTTAAAGTGGTCAGAAATTGCCTCAGATCGCACCACAGAGCATCTAGAATCCAAAAAATTTTCGGGGCCCTTAAGCGGGCCCCGAACCCCACGCCGTAATTTTTTTGACCCACTTTTTGGGAGGACCAAATTTTTTTTGGCCCCCCAAAAAATTGTGTTCTGGATCCGCCCTTGTGTGAGCTCGATACAAAGTCATGCATCCGCTGCAAGCCCGACGGATATCATGGCAACGACCATAATCAAATAAGATAATCCAGGCTAAAAGCATACCGTGTGCCTCTGAATACTTTGAAAAATAAAGACATTTTTTTCATAGTAGGCCTACTCTTGTCACTATCATCATCGTGTCACCAACCTGTAGTACTGGCCAGTAGTGTTCTTCAGTTCCTCAGACACGGCCAAGTGGATGGTGGTCTGCGCGCCCTGCACAGCCGTCTTACGGAAGAAATTACCGATGGGAGAGCACATGATCCTGAAGAAGATTCTCCATGGAAGACTCATGGCCTTCTGCGTGTGGCGCGTGAGCTCAGTCTCGATAGTTCCTGGATGCAAGGAGTTGGCTGTCACCTGAGTACCTATGAAGTCAATTAAGAGATCAAATATTGCGCAAATAAACAATCGTTAACTTTGGGGTTTGAATTTATATTTGAATGTCCAACCTCTCCCTGTTTTATGACTTCGATTTTGAAACTTACTTGAGTGCCAAATCTATACTGTAAATTATTTTGATCCATCATAGTTGGTTTGTTTTGAGCTATCTCAAAGGCCATCGGAAGATTTAAGTATATATTCTTAAAATCGACTGCCTAGAGACGTTTCTGTAGGTCAGTATTTGGCCGTGGGCGGACTTGGGGCTCAGCTTTAGGTACTGGATGGTCAAAGGGGAGAGGAGTAAAGTTTATCTCAACCCGTACATCTATGTCTTTAAAACCCTGCATTAATGAGGAAACAATACATCTGCACGCTACTTTACCTTTGAGACGTTTCGCTAGCTCAACGGTGAAGAGAACGTTGGCCAGTTTGCTTTGCCCGTAGGCCGCCACCGGGTCGTAGTTCTTCTCCAGGTTGATGTCATCCCAGAACATCTTGGCGTTATTGAAGTCGTGGGCGAGGGAGGATACGTTGACGATGCGAGCAGGGGCGGAGGATTTGATGATATCCAGCAGGAGATTGGTCAGAAGGAAGTGGCCCAGATGATTGACACCAAGCTGCATCTCGAACCCATCTTCTGTCTTCAGCGGTGGGCACATCATGATTCCTGTACACGGATTCATGACAAAGAAAGTGAATAAAGTCATGGTTTTTGATCAACAGACTCAGAGGGAATATAGAAAAACATAATGTAAATTTACGTGAAGGTTACATCAAAAACTGTCATTAGAATTTATTCTAATGAAACACAGAAGTTAACGTATACGTGTTGAAAAAAAATGTATAGCTCACTAACAGTTATGGAGGGTAATCTTTCTATTTCATTGCCTTTGACTTACTTTGTTGCATGTCAAAAGGCCATTGAAGTATTCTTTACCTGCATTGTTGATGAGTATATCCAGCTTTTTCACCTCTGCCTTGATCTTCTTGGCGCACTCTCTCACCGAGGCAAGAGAAGCCAGGTCTAGTTTGCGTACCGTCACCTTGTTGTTACCCGTGGCAGTACGAATCTCAGAGGCGGCTGCTTCGGCTTTGGGCAGATCACGGCAGGCTATGATCACACGAGCACCTGGAAAAGTCAAAACAAGACTAGGAATCGCGAATTTTGTATTTCAGCAAGACCTTAATTCATCTGCGGTAGCAGAAAAGCAGACAGCAGTTTTGACTACTGCAGGTTGCGACATAATATCATGCTGCTGGGGCTACCTTACTGTTATTTTTGCTATTACTGCTGCTTGTGTTTCTTTGCATTGTGCATAATGTTGCTGATGGGGATACGATGGTGATACTTTGCAGTCGCAACTGCTACTGTTGCCGTTAGC